CCCGTCGTGTCGGGGGACGTTGTTCAGCGGCGCCTCGACGTCGGTCATCAGGATGTCGCATTCGCGCTTCATTTCGCGGTTAGCGCTCGGGCCAAAATCGCACTTGTTCGCCGCGTCGCCCACGCTGGCAAAATAGCCCGAGCGTAGATCTTGAACCAGCGCGCCTGCCGCTCGTGGCGCATGCATGCTGCTGGTGGCGTCGGTCAGCCGAGCACTGCGGCCCTGTTGCCGCTCGCTGTTGGCTGAACCTGATCTCCTTCCTGCATGTGGCTGTTCGATGGGCGGCATGGCCTGCTCGTGAAGAGCGCCCATGCGGGGCCCTGCCCCCGCCCTGGCACTGATGGGCGCCGGCTCGTCGAGCTCTGCCGTCGGGTGCATCTGGGCTCGCTCGTGAAGAGGCGTGGCCCTTGGCTTCGCCACTGCTGTGGGCAGGATTGCGCTCACTTGCGGCGGCGCCTTGGCTGGCACCGTAAATGTTTGGTGGCGGCTCGTGCTGGGGCCCGCATTTGGGCCGATGGCTCCAGCGTCGGGCCAGGTCGCGGGCGCGGAAGTCGGCGTCGCTCGCATGCCTGGGTCTCCGGCTTCGTCAAGGTTATCAGCTCGCGTGGAGCTGCTTGCCGAAGCAGTAGTTTGCTGATCATCAGTCTGGTAGCTTGCTGCCGCAGGAAGAGATGCCGCGTGGATCTCCGCGATGATTCTCGCTGCTCCCTCTCGGGTGATCGAGGCGCCCGCCCGGTCGTTGAGGATCGGGGGCGGGGCCCCGCCCGTCGCGCACGGGCGCGCACGCCTAGCTCTCGGACTCGCGGCCAGCGCGGCGCCTCAGGACGGCGTCGGCGAGGGCAGAAACGTCTACGTAGAAGGACCTTGCCCGCGGCGATGGCGAGCGCGCCTCCGGCGGAAGTGGCGGCCGCCCTTGGTCTCTTTGCGCCGCGGGTGGGTTCGTGGTGATGTTCTGATTCATGTCGAAGAAGAATTCCGAGTCGTCGGCGGATAATGCTGGCTTCCACCCTCGTTGCCACATTCCGACGCGCGGGTCTCGAGGTTGCAATATTAGGACCTGGGCGTTCCACATCACTGCGCCCTGACTGGGCACGCGCAACCCATGGCCTCGGCAGAGGCAGCTGGCGGCTGGGGCCGAGGGCGAGCCGGGTGCGAGGTTGGCCTGTCTCAGCGCCTGTGCTGGCGCATGCTCGTTCCTGGCCGCGTTAGTCGGTGGGCACAATGGCGGGGGCGGGCAGTTCGACGGCGGTGGCTCGCAGTGGCCAGGGGTGGCGTGGGTCGAACTGTCGGCTGCCTTGGGGTTTCTGGTGCCGGCCTGCGGCGGTCGTGGGCGCTCTGTGCGTGCCGGCTGGGTGCTGTGCAAGCAAGGGGTGATCTGGCCGGCTGGTGCTCGCATGGCGGAGCCCGTTCGCTCGTCGTGGATGCCGTTGTAGAGGTCGGTCCTCGTCTCGGAGAGAATCCTCTTTCCCTCCTTGCGGAGGTCAGGGGTGGGATGGGACATGAGGTTGTGGATGTCGCCGGCCAAGGTCCTCATGCAGCCGAACACGTTGATGCATGTCAGCTCCACCCGGGCGGCTGCCTCTGGAGGCGGCGGTCGTACGAGTGTGGCTGCCTATTGGGGTGGCGTCATGTCGGTCATGGTGTCGCGTCTCGCGATGTTGCTCTCGTCGGTTACGTTGGCTCGTAGGTGCCAGCTTATGCCTGCAATGGTGGGCCATTGCGAGTTACAGTTGGGAGGCGGCCCCAGCTGGATTTCGCATCACTCGCGGGTCTCGCTGAAGGGTATGATGGGGACCCTGTACACGGCCTTGCAGTTCTGTAGGTAATGATACTCCTCGTCTGTGACTTCGATCAAAAGGGACGAGGTTTCCGTTGGGGTCTCCTTCGGCTGCGTGCAGTCCGGCTCGGGTCTGCGCGGTACTGCGGTGGTTGTTTTTGTCAAACAACACGGTGTTGCTGTGGGGGTGTACCGCTATTGCTCTCATGGTTGTCAGGGTGTCGGTCAGGTAGAAGAGGAACGGTAGGGCTTCGCTCGGTTCCTGGACGTTGCTGTTCGCGTCCGTCACGCGCAACATATCGGAAACGTTGTGGCTCTTCGAGTGATTGACTTCCGTTCTGCCCCCCGGTAGGTCGGCGCGCTTGTGAGTGGACAGTGAGAACCTTGTGGATCTGGTCGACGTTGGGCATCTCAGCTCCGTATGGCCCCCTTTCTGGCGGGACTGGGTAGAACATGTTGGCCTCAGCAAGCTCCCTGGCCCGTGACACGGGAGTGCCGCGATCAAGGCGCGACGCTCTGTGTCGCGCGGGTTGCCGTCAGTTCGCGTTCTAGTGTATATGGCGGTTCTGTAAAGAGGTATGTGGGCTGGTCTTGCTGTATAGTGGCAGTCCATGTTGTCGATGTCGGGGTCCATGCGGTTCTTGCTGAATTGCGGATCGCGCTGTCGGCTCTCTTTGATGTGGTCCTCTTCCACGTGTGCTTGGTCGCTTTCAAGTACGCGATGGTGTAGTCATGGGGATAGAGCGTCTTCATCCATCCTTTGGGCGTGTTGGTCGGCACGTATACATGCTCTCCTCCTCCTCCGCCTCCTCCTCTCCTCCTTCTCGTTCCCCCTTCCACTCCTCCTCCTCCTCCTCCTCCTCCTCCTCCTCCTCCTCCTCCTCCTCCTCCTCCTCCTCATGCTCCTCCTCTTCCTCCTCCTCCTCCTCCTCCTCCTCCTCCTCCTCCTCCTCATCCTCCTCTTGACAGGGCAAACAACGGGGTCGGTATGAAAACCGCCCTCGGGGAATGGCTCGAGGCCACTGGGGGTCAACGGGATAAACAAAAATCATGTCGTCGGGGGTCTGGGGATGGAGTGCGGCTGCGAACGAGGAGGCCTCGGCAGGGTAGTCAACGAGGAGGCATCGGGGACAGTAGCGAACGAGGAGGCTTCGGGGAAGGTAGCCAACGAGGAGCAAGGATGTTCCACAAAGGCGGCGCCGCAACTTGGGACCCCACCTCCTCCCGAGGACGGATGAGGGCTGAGGAGGAGGAGGAGGAGGAGGAGGAGGAGGAAGAGGCATCAGGAAGGGTGGCGAGGGAGGAGCGAGGTAGGGCGCGGTTTTAGAGAGAAAGCGCACCTCCGATCCCCACCTGGGCCTCCCTCCCCAGCCCCTGGGGCTGGGCTAGAGAGTTTTGAGACCCGACTGCGAGGATGCCCCGCAGAGGCGGCACAGCAAAAGCGGACCCCACGTACACCTGCCCCCCCAATCTGGGGATGGTGGCCCAATGGCGGCCTCCTCCTCCTCCTCCTCCTCCTCCTCCTCCTGCTCCTCCTCCTTGGAAGTGGAGGGGAAGTCCTCTCCCGCCTGCCCTCCCGCCGCGCCTCGTCCCGCCGGCCCCGGCGCCCCCGCCCGGGCGCTCGGCGTCGCCCTCCCGCCTCCCCTCCTCGCCTGCGTGGGGGGAGGGGAGTGCTGTCTGCCTGGGGGGGTGGGGGGCAGGGGGAGAGCGGTGGGGAGAGAGAGCGCACCCCCACCCCCACCTATCGCGCGCTGCGAAGTGGGGAGAGGGGAGGAAACGAGCACCTTTCGTGCCCCGTTTGGGCCCCGGGAGGCCTTTCTAGGGCTCCTGAGGCGAGGCGCACGAAAGGCGCACCTTTCCTCACCCCCCATATTGGGTGGGTCCGGGACACCCTGAACCAAAAAAGGTTGCCATCTCTTGGGAGGCCGATTTTTCCTTCCGCCAGAGTAGGCGGCCTCGTCTCGCTTCCGCCGGCCTTCCGCCGCCCTCCGCCGAGGAAGAGATGACAAGCCCTTGATCGTCGTCTCGCCATCGCTCGGACGTCCATTCGGCGTGCATTTGTCTCGCGCGTGTTTTCTGTGCCAGATGATCCAAGATGTTCCTCGATGGTCCACGCCGTGAAAAAAAAACACACGTCCAAGCGATGCCAAGTCGAAGACGAGGCCCCTTCTTGAATGCCTCATTGGTCGCCCCCCGTTGCGCAATGTCCCCCACCTGGCCCCCCGTCCTCCTCCTCCTCCTCCTCCTCCTCCTCCTCCTCCTCCTCCTCCTCCTCCTCCTCCTCCTCCTCCTCCTCCTCGTCCTCCTCATGCTCCTCCTCCTCCTCCTCCTCCTCCTCCTCCTCCTCCTCCTCCTCTCTCTCCTCCTCCTCCCCTCCTCCTCCTCCTCCCTCCTGGTCCTCCTCCTCCTCCTATTCCCGATGCATCGGAGCGCTCGTCTGACCGCTCCACATCTAGGCCTCGGGCTAAAATTCTGTAATGACAGCCGAGACCTTGTCTCTTCCTCAGGGAGGAAACCAGCTCTGACTTCCTCCTCCTCCTCCTCCTCCTCCTCCTCCTCCTCCCTCCTCCTCCTCCTCTCCTCCTCCTCCTCCTCCTCCTCCTCCTCCTCCTCCTCCTCCTCTTCCTCCTCCTCCTCCTCCTCCTCCTCTCCTCCTCCTCCTCCTCCTCCTCCCCCTCCTCCTCCTCCTCCTCCTCCTCCTCCTCATGGCCCCCCCCCGAGGCCCCGGAAGAAGTGCTGCGCTCCCGCGCCCCATGGGAGCTCCGGCGGATTACCCCCCGAAGGGACCTCGAAAACGTCGCCGCCGCCGACGCTGTAGAGCGCTGCCGCCGCTGGAGCGCCGGGGAGGGGCTGAGGGCTCGAGGGCTCGCGGGCTCGAGGGCTCGAGGGCTCGAGGGCTCGAGGGCTCGAGGGCTCGAGGGCTCGAGGGCTCGAGGGCTCGAGGGCTCGAGGGCTCGCGGGCTCGAGGGCTCGCGGGCTCGAGGGCTCGAGGGCCCGGGGAATCGAGGGTTCGGGCGCTCGAGGGCTCGAGGGCTCGAGGGCTCGAGGGATCGAGAGCTCGAGGGATCAAGAGCTCGATGGATCAAGGGATCGATCGTGGCACCGAGAGGTCAGCGCGGCGGCGGCGGCGGCAACGACAACGACGCCGTCCGAAGGAGAACACACTGCGAAGGAGAACGCGCGGAGCTCCGCGCGGTGTCCCTGGATCGGGCGATGGGCCCACCCTGGCGGCGCCCCCGGCGCCGCCTCTGACGAGCTCCGCGCGCCCCCGGCCCCGGCTCCGGCGGGGGGGGAGGAGACCCATCCCCCGAGTCCCGGTCTTGCCCTACTGCAACAGGGCCTGAAGGCGCGGGGCGCGCCTGACGGAAACACGCGCTCTCCCGACAATGACCTCCCTGGCGAATGCAGCGGAGTGGGCGGGGGAGGCGCGAAGGGCCTGAAAAGCAGAGTGGATAGAACCGAGCGCGAGAAAACGGCGGGGGGGGAGGAGGAGCAGGAGGAGGATGGCAAGGAGGAGAAGGAGGAAGAGGAGAAGGAGGAGGAGGAGGAGGAGGAGGAGGGGGAGTAGCAACGGATGCAGCGGGAGGACGAGAGAGAGGAGGAAGGCTGATCGGGAGGGGAAGTCCGGCGCCGATCCGAGAGATCTGCGCGGTCCTCCAAAACTGTGCGCATACAGTGGGAACCCATGCCAAGAGACACCCTGCTTGCCTCCAGGGTGCCCTGGGTGTCTTGGGTTTCGATGGTTTGGCGATGGGAAGCTTGACGTTCCCACACCAAAAACGAATGGACGTCCTGGGGTCTCAGGGATGGGTTTCTTGTGGAAGGTTTCTTGTGGTCGAGCTCCTACTGTATACCGCCTTCTCTGCGAGAAGAAGAGGAGGCAGAGGCGGGAGGGAGGCAGCGGAAATATGAGGACTCGGCAGAGAGGGGACAACTGGGAGCGAGATCGGAGCGGAGCAGCCGCGGGATAGCCTCAGGATGGCAGCGGGGATCCATGCCTGGCCTGGTGGGCTTGTTTACCACCGCCACCACCATAAGCAGGAGGGGGAGGGGGGTCCTTCTCCTCCTCCTCCTCCTCCTCCTCCTCCTCCTCCTCCTCCTCCTCCTCCTCCTCCTCCTCCTCCTCCTCCTCCGCCTCCTCTTCCTCATCCACATCCTCCACCTCCTTCCCCCCTCCAAATCATGGTGGTGGTGGTGGAAAATAGACCCATCATGGCCCTCGAGGCAGGAGGATCAGAAGGGGGACGGCGAGGGGGACCCAGACGAACACAAACGGCACAGGCATAAGCTGGCGGAGGTCCGCACGGACTTCTTGGATCGGCCCGGGCCCCCCCCCTGGCGCGATGAGCGGCGCCAGAGGCGCCGCCAGGGGGTCCAGCCTAGATCGAAGACATCCGAGCGGAGCTTCAGCCAAATATGTGCTATACCTTTGCTTCTTCGTCGGGGATCCGGAGCTAGGAGGAGGAGGAGGAGGAGAAGGAGGAGGAGGAGGACGACGACGAGAGGACGACGAAGGGTGGCATGAGAAGGGCGGGACCTTTTGGAGTGCAACGCTCGCTGCCGGCGGCTGCACGTGCGCTATCGGGAGAGGGCGTATCCGCCTCGGGCTGACAAAACGATGGCAGGAACGACCGCGTCGTCACACCTCCTCCTCCTCCTCCTCCTCCTCCTCCTCCTCCTCCTCCTCCTCCTCCTCCTCCTCCCCCTCCTCCTCCTCCTCCTCCTCCTCCTCCTCCTCCTCCTGCTCCTACTGCTCCTCTTCCTCCTCCTCCTCTTTTTCTTCTTATTCTACCTCCTCGTGCTCCTCCTCCTACTCCTCCTCCTCCTCCTGCTCCTCCTACTGCTCCTCCTCTTCCTCCGTACCCTCCTCCTCCTCTTCCTCCTCCTCCTCCTCCTCGTCCGCCTCCTCCTTCTCCTCCGCATCCTCCTCGTATCTTCCAACGCCTCCTCGCTGGTACCTCCTCCAACTCTTTCTCTTCCTCTCTGCTTCATCCTCTTTCTGCCTGCTCTCTCCCCCATCATTCCCTTCCTCACCCTCATCCCCATCATCCCCCTCCTCCCCTTCCCTCCCTCTCTCCCTCCCTCCTCCTCCTTCTGAGGAGGAGGAGGAGGAGGGAGGGCGCATCCGCCTCGGGCTGACAAAACGATGGCGGGAACGACCGCGTCGTCACACCTCCCTCCTCCTCCTCCTCCCCTCCTCCTCCTCCTCTCCTACTGTTCCTCCTCCTCCTCCTCCTCCTCCTCCTCCTCCTCCTCCTCCTCTTATTACTAGTAGTAATATTATTATTAGTATTCGTATTATTATTATTAGTATTAGTATTATTATTATCATTATTATTATTATTCTTATTATTCTTAGTATTATTATTATGATCATTACTCGTCTTCTTCTTCATCTTATTGTTAATATTATTCGTATTAGTATTAATATTAGTGTTCGTATTATTATTCTTATTATAACTATTATTCGTAAGATTATGATTACGATTATTAAATTCCAGTATTGTTATTAGTAGTAGTAATAGTAGTATTAGTAGTATTAGTATTATTAGTACTGTCATCATTATTATTAGAAATATTAGTGTTATCATTATTAATATTCGTATTAGTAGTATTATTAGTAGTAAGAGTATTATTATTAGTATTAGTATTATTATTGGTGTTATCATTGTTATTATTATTCGTATTATGAATATTATTATTATTATCAGTATTATTATTATTAGTATTATTAGTATTACTATTATTATTAGTATTCTACCTCCTCGTGCTCCTCCTCCTCCTCATCATCCTGCTCCTCCCTCCCTCCCTCCCTCCCTCCCTCCCCCTCCCTCCTCCTCCTCCCTCCTCCTCCTCCTCCTCCTCCTCCTCCTCCTCCCTCCTCCTCCCTCCTCCTCCCTCCTCCTCCTCCTCCTCCCCCCTCTTCCTCTCCCTCCTCCTCCTCCTCCTCCCTCCTCCTCCTCCTCCTCCTCCTCCTCCTCCTCCTCC